GAAGAATTGATGCTTTTGAACTGTGGTGTTGGAGAAGACTCTTGAGAGTCCCTTGGACTGCAAGGAGATCCAACCAGTCCATCCTAAAGAAAATCAGTCCTGGGTGTTCATTGGAAGGACTGATGCTGAAGCTGAAACTCCAATACTTTGGCCACCTAATGCAAAGATCTGACTCACTGGAAAAGACCATGATGCTGGGAGGGATTGGGGGCAGGAGGAGAAGGGGACAACAGAGGATGAGATGGTTGGGTGGCATCACCGATTCGATGGACATGGGTTTGGGTGGATTCCGAGAGTTGGTGATGGACAGGGAGGCCTGGCATGCTGCACTTCATGGGGTTGCAAAGAGTCGGACACAACTTAACAACTGAACTGAACTGAATTCCAAACCTCATGGGTGACCTGAGGGGTTCAAGGCTTCAGTGGAGGAAAGAACTGCAGGTGTGGTAGAAATAGCAAGAGAACTAGAATTAGAAGTGGAGTGTGAAGATTTGACTGAATTGCTTTAATCTCACAATAAAACTTAAATGGCTAAAGACTTGCTTCTAATAAGCAAAGAAAGTGGTTACTTGAGATGGAATCTACTCCTGGTAAGATGCTGTACAGAGTTTTAAATGACAACAAAGAATTTAGAATATTACGTAAACTTTAGCTGATAAAACAGCAGCAGGGTTTGCAAGGACTAAGTCCAATTTTGAAAGAAGCTGTATTAAACAGCATTGTGTATTACAGAGAGCTCATTAGTGAAAAAGTTAATGGATGTGGCAAACTTCACTGTTGTCTTATTTTAAGATACTACCACAGCCCAACCTTCAGCAACCACCACCCTAATCAGTCAGCAGCCATCAACATCCAGGTAAGACCCTCCCCCAGCAAAAACATCACAACTCACTGAAGGCTCAGAAAATGGTTAACATTTTTATCAATAAAGTTTTTTAAATTAAGGTATGTAAATTGCTTTTTTAGAAACACTGTTACTGTGTGCTTAACATACTATAGTATATGTAAACATAACTTTTATCTGTACTAGGAAACAAAAAAATTTTATGTGACTTGCTTTATTGGGATTACTCACTTTAATTTCAGTGGTTTGGAACTGAACCCACACTATCTTGAGGTATGTCTGTATGGATATTATCTATAGATAGCAACTAATAAAATTTTGCCAGTCAAAAGAAGATAGATACATGTTCAATATTATCAGTAATTTGCACAAAAAAGTTGTTCATTTTTGCTTCTTCTAAGATCTTTGAAGAATGAAGTTGCACCCTTAGTGGTCAGCATACCCAGTGAGCTGCCAATTCACTGTATCTGTGACATTACAAGAGTATTTGAACTTTGTATGCCTCATCTTACTACCAATCTACAAGATGGGGATAACTGCACCTACTTCACAGGATTAGTATTGGGCATTAATTACAAGTATTAACTTAATACCTATACTGCAAAGAGGACAGTGCCTGTCACACAATGACTGCACAAATATTAGTCAAACTCTCTTATTACATTGGTCCCTTGTGCTTACTAGCAAAATCATCGCTGAGTCCTTGGACTACGTGTATAAGGCAGACAGAAATGTCATCACTGCCTTAAACACTTTCCAACAAAATTCCTAAGATCATGAACCATGAAACCAGATTCAATTTTTATTTCTACTTCTAACTCCTAAAGTATTGAGAAATTAGTTTCTTTGGTTTGCCCGTCTCTGAAATTGGTACAACAAAGCCTGCCATTGGTAAGCTGTTGTAAAGATGAGGCAATACATTAAAACCCTAGGAGCAGCTCAGAACACACGGTGTTTTACAGATTTATGCACAGAATGTAAAGCTTACTGCTCAGAGTCATAGTAGTCCATCCGCTTCTTTTTCTTGTTATAAGCAGCAACTCGAAAGGGAACGATCTCCAAGGTGATCAGGCCCGGGGCCATGGTCAGCACTTTGGCGCCATGAGTTGGCTCATAAAGATCCTTCCCTGTTTCTGGATGGGGCATGCCAGCAGGGTCTCGTCCAACAATGTAGAAGTTGGCTCCGGCAACCATCCGTGCTCTGCAATGCCACTGGACCTAGGATAGAAATGGTCACATTAGATAACTATGATTTCATGACCACCGGTTAGAAGTAGGAAGTGGATAATAAATGCATACACTTCTTACGTAATCAGTATCTATCAGTAGGAAATGTCAACAAATTAAAATCATCATCTTGGGAAGCCAGGGGGGGAAAAAAAAAACCTGGCAACCCCTCCCCTTCCAAAAAAATCTACAAGTATATATGTATATGTAGCTGGGAAGCATAAAACAAGGTGTTGGCTGTGACTTAACAGCCAGCTGCTTTCAAAGGTAGCTCCGTAGCCTATACCGTCACATTGACTTACTGTTTAAAAACAAAAATTACTTGGTCTAACACCTAGAACTATAGAAATCTAGAAGTTAGAGTAACTGGAAGAGAGCATCATTCTCACTAAAACAAGAAGGAAGCAAATCCTCAAAGGTTAATGACTCAGCCAACAGACTGTAGGACAAACCCAGGTCCACACGTTTGGCCTTAGTTCCCTCGCAGTGTATGGCTCCATTATTTAGTGATTTACAAAACCATCTCAGTTCTATGTGAATAGCCGTATAAATGATGACCACTTCATATCATTTCATCTCTCTTGATAGCATCTCTTCTAACAAGTACTTTATTTTTATATCAACATAGTTCATAAAGTGCAAGAATATGAAGGCAAGCCCATACCCTGTATTTGAACAGGTCACCCAGAGGATTTTCAACTTTTCTAGTTGTTTCTACTGATATTGACCTCTATATTTCTAAACAGTATGTGCATACAGTTGTAACTTGACTGTTAATTTTAGATATTATATACTGTCATCCCTCAGTATGTGTGGATGCTCAAGTCCCAGAGTCAGCCCACTGTATTCAAGGTTCTGCATCCATGGAGTCAATCAAGCACAAATCATGTAGTACTGTACATATTTACTGGATAAAAACCTGCATATAAGTGGACCCGCACAGTTCAAATTTGTTATGTTCAAAATTATAATAGAGGCATTATTTCCACATTGTTATTTCCTACTATAAAAGAAGATATTTGGCTCTTACTCCACTATCTTCATTCCCTATCCCATTTATTCAATAAACACTGTGGTATCAATACTTTGGTGAAATGACCATTTATCTGTAAAATGGGGATTACAATCGTATTTACTGGATAGAATTTTTAATAAAATTAACGTGAAAAAACTGAGGACTTAGAATAGTACCTGGCACAGAGTAAGTACACAATAAATGTTGGCTGTTATCATCTTTATTTTACTCCTCTCCTTGTACAACTGTTTTTCCTAGAGTTAATAATTGCCTTAATTTGTTTTCTGCTTGCTTAGCTTTCCATAGATTTGTGTTTCTAGATACTGTGTACTATCTTTCTTCCTAAACACAGTTTAATACAATTCTCAGTCTCCCTACAATTGAGTTCTGACCGAAGAAATGAAAGCCAAAGTGATGCGTGCCACTTCCAGACGTGGGTCATTAAAAAGCCTCCTGAGCACTAGCCTAGTTTGCTTTCCTCATGAGCCAGCTAAAGAGAAAGGACCCCAAGGCCCCATAACTACCTCTTTTTCCACTACAGTATTACTTCTGCTTGCAGTGAGTTGCAGTAGTTCTGTTTGCACCAGATGGCAAAGCATGAAGCTAGAAGACCTTTGTTCTCCACATGCACCACCTCTTCCTCCATCCACCCCAGATTCAGCTCTTCATGAAATATCTGCTCATCTCCCTCTGCCCCTTCGCAGCAGACACACAGAAGAATTCCACTTGTTCAGACTCAATTTGCATCAAGCGGTCAGTCAGAATCAAATCATCAATTAAGTACTCTGCAACTCCACTTAAATGTAAAATCTTTTCTGCCTCATGAAAAATAGCTACTGCTTACAGAGTTAAATTAAAGGGCAATCTAAGTTTTCTGAACTTAGGTGAACTTACTTTGCTCATTATATATTTATGTCTGGATGCCTGAATCATTCAAGTGCCAACTGGTCAATAAACCAGGAATATATTTCAAAAGCATGCTGGTGACATGGGCCAGTTTTAACTCTGCCTTGTAAAACTGTCAGAAAATGTAATTGCTTCTCTGACTTCTTTAGAAGTTATATGAGTAAATTAAACGTAAACACAACAAACATGGAGTCAGCTTTCTCCTGCAGGTGACCTAAATGGTTTCAATGTATATTTTAATGAATGGTTCCCTTATGAGAAAACTCTATGATTTTTAACAGCCATGAGTAAGCAAATCAATGTCATTCTTCCAAGAAAGCCTAATGTGAGTCAACTTATAACCTACTGAACAGGTAATATGTTTTAATGAAGACAATGCAAGTCAGCCATGGCCACTGGTATCTGGTTAAGAACATAGGCTTTCAAATCAGGCTATCCTAGATTTGAATCCTAGCTTTGCCCCTCACTGATGGAAGGATCTTAAGCAATTTCTTTATACAAGCCTCAGTTTCCTAATTTATAAAAATGAGAATGATAACACTTAATGCATAAGATTGTTGGAAGTTTTGAAAGTACTCAGGATACTACCTGGCCTTCAATAAAGAAAAGCTGTTATTACTGCCACTATTACTATTACTCTGTGAAGTATTTCCTGACAATCACAGTTGAATTAATTGCTTCCTGACCAGAATTTCTAAAGAAAATCCCTTTCCTCTCTGAAGAAAATGACACGCTGCCCAGAAAATGGTTGTTAAAACCCAGAAAGAGCTGTCTATCCGGCAGACTAGGTCAAGATGTATTCTTTACCTTTTTATGCCACTGGCTAGCATGATTATCAGGAAACTGAATGCATACTGAAGAAGGACTAGAAGATGATGCCTAAAAGTTTTCTATGAACCCCTATAAGAATCTGTAAATGGCCAACGTAACAACAAATGACTTATTTTCTGCTTTACTTTCATCTGTGTAGCAAAGACCAAATAGCTTTGTCATTTTTTTCTGATTATAAGAGTAATTTAATTCACATGTGGCAAACACTGCTCCTTGCCTCCACAACAACTGATTTCTCTTTGTCCTGATCTCCCTATTCCTTGATGACAGAAACCTCCCCCTAAAGGACGAAGAGGCTATGTCCTTGCTTTCCCAGCAATACAGCATGGGCGCCTGAGCAAATAACAATCTCTTGGGAAGTTGTCTAGAGGATTCCTAAAAAACGTTTTTTCTTCATTAATAAAACTTTCAACAGTCACTTACCTGAAACGTCTTCACTTCATCTTTATTTTTGCTTGGCTATAGAATTCTAGATTAACAGACATGTTTCTACGTTTTTTTCTCTCTTAAAAATGCTACTCCACTGCTTCCAGCTCATAATGCTCTTGAGAAGCCAGCCACCACTCTTATTACTCCCCTACTGTGCCCTCTTCCTCTCCCCATCTCTCTGCTTTTAAGGTTCCTCTCTATCATAAATTTTCAGCAGGTTGGCTACTCTGTGCCTAACTGTGGTTTTCTTTGGATTTATCCTTTCTTATATTTACTGGGCTGCTTGAATTTGTAGGCTGATGTTTTCCACCAATGGCAAAAAACATTCAACCATTTTTTTTCCAAAACTTTTTGTGCCACATTCTCTCTCTCTTCTTTCAGAAGTTCCCTTATACACGTTAGATGGCTTGAGCTTGTCCACAAGCTACTGAGGCTTTGCTTCTTTTCTCCCATTTATTTTCCTTTTTCAAAAAATTCCTACTGACTTTTTAAAAACTCACTGACCTTTCTCTTCTGCCAACTCCAGTCAGCTTTTAAGTTTATCCAATAAATGTTTCTGTTTCAGATACCACACTTTTTTACCCCTTGGTTTTCCACTTGATTTTTTTCAGCTTCCACTTTTCTGAGAGTCCTCACCCATAAGACAATTATTTTTGTTTAAGAAGCTTCAACGTGTTTATTGGCTATTTCCAACATCAGCATCATCTAAAGGCACGCTTCTAGTGAAAGTTTTTATTCTGGATTATAAGTCACAGTTGCTTGCTTATTTCCAATAATTTGTTGCTGTATGCTGGACTTGTGAATGATTGGTTTTAAGGAGCCTGAATAATGCTATTTTCCTTTAGAATGTTAAGAGCCTGATTCCAGCAGGCAGGTAATTTACTGGTACCTCTTCTTATCTTTTTGAGGTTCAATTTTAAGCTCTATTGGGCATTTTCAGTCCAGTTTTTTGGACCAATTACCAACCTACTGCCTTTCAACTCCAAATTCACCCTTAGTATTTGCTGAGAAAATGGACTGAAAACTAAGCATTTCTCCACAGTGAGCACAATGTTAAATCAGCAGAGGGCATTAGAGGGACACTGTAGAAGGATGTGTAGTGGTACCTGAATATGGGGCTATTTGGTGGCACAGGGGTCCAGCAGCAAACCCAAAGTGCACACTTCTTCAACAACCTCAAAGCCCTAGCCTGAGTCCAGTGATCACCTCGCTACAGTCCTCCTAATGCAAACTCCAGTGCACTCCAAGCCTGCCACCAGCAGCTCCCTGACTCCTGCTTACTCATGTATCCCGCTGTGCTCAACTGGGCCTCAGAGGGTTGCTTCCTGCATTAATTGCAACATGGGTATCCCATACTGTGTACCAATCTGGCAGCAAGCCAGCTCCCAATGAATGCCCTGACCCCCACTGAGCTTACCAGTCTTTAACCTGTGAACCAGAGACAGGGTAGTTTTCTGTTATCTGGCATCTGTGAACCAGTGTGGTCCAGAGAGTCCACTCAACTTCACCATCCAGTGGGATGAAACCATACCTTTTCCAATGAGATCTGAAGCCCAGTCTTGGGAAGAGGATCCCTTTTCCAAATCTACCCTTCCTTTGGTAATCTCCCTCAGCCCTAGGGTACCCTTTAGAGTTCACTCTGCATTTTTTAGTTACTTCTCTACTAAAGTTTAATAATTCTTTAAACTTCCCCTGTCCAATTCTGTGTGATTTCCCACTTCCTGGCTGTAAACAAACTGATATCATGCTTTCTGTACAGTGTGGCCTATTTTCCAAAAGCATGTGTTTCTGGTGTCTCAGTTGCATACCT